CATTGCTCTTATCTTGGATTTCACAGATATTAGACTGATACAAAGAGACTGTCACTACACTGAGATAATATTTCATTATCTAGTTTTTCGTAGCGCATGAGTCGATATTTTAAAATTGTAAATTAGTTGTTCTTTCTTGAAGGATTCTGTTGCAAATGCGTCTTGAAATTTAAAATTATATCCTACGCTACATGGATTTATGACAGTTTTTGTTTTGTATTTTCAATAACCTTTGAGTACTCTTGCGCCAATTGAGATAACATTTCGTGTCACAGATATCAACAAATCTGCTGGAGTTGACAATATACCACCAATATTGATCAACAAATGTAAAATGAGTTTATACTTAGTTACTTTAACTTGCAACAAGACTTTAGACCTTGCACTTTCCCCGATGCTTAGCACTAGCAGGCTGTGCATATTCTCGATGATGTTCAAAAAGCTAATCTGTAACGAAACACTTGTTGATTCAGCAACGGGATGTTTTTTTCCGAAAAGGTGCCTGAATACAAACTTGCTTTGTTTCTCTGACTTCGTTTCAGATGCTTTGGACATAAATTTTCAAGTCGATGCTATTTATACCGAATTCAGCAAGGCTTTTGATCCAGTTAGTCATAATTTGCTATTTAAAAAAGCTTGCTGAAGTTGGTATTCGTAGCCCCCTTGTAATGTGGGTTCTTATTCTTATTCGCGCGATAGAGAATTCTTCGTGTGTATAAACGGGTCTATATCCAGAGTCGTTATTCCATTATCAGGAGTTCCTCAGGCCACTTAGGTCCATTATTCTTCTTAATTTGTATAAATGATATCGCATAATGTTTTAGCCATTGCCAGTTTCTTCTTTATGCAGTTGATTCGAAGATGTATCGCATACTTAAAACCCTTCAAGACTGCGTTAAAATACAACCTTATATTGACAAACTACTTTATCAGAGAAGTGACCTGCCACTCAACACTAAAAAATGCTGTTTAATCACATACACGAAAAAAAAGAAACTTACTCTAAGAGCAATATTTTGGATCTGGATGTTATACTAGATACGAGGTGGAGCTTTAATAGATGAAATCATAAATAAAACGAATGAGATGTTTTGCTCTATTAGAAGACATATTAGATAGAATCAGCATGGATTTCTCCCTGGTCGATCAATAATGACCCACCTTCTCCACTCTCTCAACGATTGGACTCAGTATCTGGACACAAAGACTCCTGTTGATATAATCTACTTAGATTTTTCTAGGGCTTTGGATCGCGTACCACATAGAAGGCTTCTGTTTAAGTTGGAATGTATGGGAATAAGAGGCGAGTTGTTACAGTAGATTAAGGCTTTTCTCACCGGGAGGACTTTCTCTGTGCGCGTCAGTGATAGCCAGTCTCACCTTCATCATGTAGCAAGTGGAGATCCTCAAGGCTCTGTCTTGGGGCCAGTGCTGTTCCTTCTGTATACAAGTGACCTGCCCGCATTGATTTCCTCCACATGTTCAGCTTATGCCGACGACACCAAGATTTACAATACTGTCGTAAATTCTGCTATGCTTCAACGAGATCTTGATATTGTTTGTCAATGGTCACTCAGTTGGCTTTTACCCTTAAATCTAACTAAGTGTCGTGTCCTTCACCTCGGGAAGACAAATCCGCGATTTACATACAAGATCTCTGACCACAACATCGAAGCAGTTTCCAGCTACACTGATCTGGGCGTTGTAGTCAACGATCGTCTTTCCTGGTCAGATCATATTCACCACGTTACATCAAAAGCCAAGAAACTTCTATACATGCTGGAGAGGTCTTTCAAAGGATCCGATGTCAACACTTGCGCCTGCATTTACAAGGCATTCGTGAGGCCAATTCTTGAATTCGCTGGCCCGGTATGGGACACTGTGCTTCTGCGCGATAGAAATCTCGTCGAATCAGTACAGCGTCGGGCTACTCGTATCCCTTTTGGAGCACGAAGACCAAGCTATGAAGATGGCCTTGAATTATTCAACCTGACCTCATTCTCTGAGCGAAGACTTCGTGGCGATCTTATAGTTACGTTCAGGATACTTCATGGTTTGATGGACACCAACCTCATGCATCTATACCGTCTGTCGCGCAGCAATCTACGCGGACACAGCTTCAAACTGCATAAGGAGTCATTTAAAACAACAGTCCGACAGTGGTTTTTTCCCAACCGCATATTCAACACCTGGAATAGTTTACCTGAAAGTGTGGTTGGTGCTACTTCAGTTAATAGCTTCAAAGTGCAGTATGATAGCTGGAGGAGTGTACAAACTTTATTGCTATGAACTGTCTTTTTTTTATTTTTTTCTATTTGATGTATTTGTGTTGCGTGTCCGTACACTATATTTACTGCATGAGCTTATAGTACTGTGTACTCTGCTCATCTCAATTATAATAATAATAATAATACTTCAGTAACTCCGCATACACTGTTATCATTATATTGTGCGTTTATACATAGTACACTACGAACTCCAAGTAAGGAAAATTGAGTCTGTCCAACATAGCTTCTTGCGAATTCTGGCTTATGAGGCTAGCATCATTATCCATAATCACGATTATGCCTTGGTAATGCAGCGGTTCTCACACACCCCCCCCCACCCCCCTACAGGGGCGTGTCAATATTAAAGGAGGGTCCGAGGATATCAGAAAAAAACACGAAGAACATTGAGTAATTTACTAAAAGCAAAGAAAAAGAAATTCTGACAATCGAAAAATAAGACACACATTAACACTGATATAGTAGTTACACTTGTAAACAGAACTGTATGTATCAATACTAAATTAAAAATAAGTTTTACAATATTAATTGTAAAAATTGTAATTACTAGTGACAACCTTGGGCCTGCTTTGCCGAGCAAAGCTTGTCGAAACAAGGTTTAATATCTGAAAGTTCTTTTTCTACATTTAGCTGCGATCTGTATTTGGTCTCCAGAGCAGCACCCGCCGAAAATCCTGTTTCGCAAAGGTAGGGTGTTGAAAATGGTAGTAGTATACGAAACGCTCTGGTTTTCAGTGCCGAAAACTCATCGTTCACGCCTGCCCAAAATTCAAATATGGATTTTTTAATAAACTGTTTTTTGATTCCGGCGTTTGCTTTCAAGTCTATGAAGATTTCTTCTTCTTCGGCAGTTGAGAGCCCTTCGGGACTAATTTGAAATGGATTCCTGATCTACTCGTAACTAGCTATTAACTTGACGGGAAGAAAATATTTTTTTAGTGCTTTGTCAGCATCGCTAAATGATTTTCGATAGTTACGAAAACAACTTTCATGTGGTGTTCTTCAATTTTGTGTGGTTTAACCCTGTAATGCTTAGTGGGGTTTCGCATCACCCCAAAGAAAATTCAAATGTTCACTAATTTTTTGTGCATAAGTTTGCAACATCGGAGATCCCGCTATGTTCATTTGAGGTTAATGTGTGTGTGTTGTTGGTCGCACATTTTTGTTCGGTGCAATAGTTTATATGATATTTTGTGTTTGGGGTGACGAGTAACCCCAGGTAAGCTTGAACTGGTATTTTCATTTTATTCCACACACTAGATTACGTAATTTATTTAGATGGCTGTCCGACCAGATGATCCCAAATTTGAAGAAACTCTGTTACGATGCAATGAAGAACTCGACAATGAACCTGATTCAGATAATGACGGCACTGACTATGACGACCATGTTTCAATTCAGTCCGACAGGGGGAGCACCTACTCAACGGATGATAGTGAAGTAGAGAGTGACAGAACAACAACTTCCTGGCAAAGTAATAAAAGGAAAAAATGGACATATTTGGAGCACTGAGCTTCCATGTCGTACTCGAACACCTAAGCGAAACATTGTTTTTTAGCGCGAATGTTATAGATATTATAGTGGTGCATACAAATATGGAAATAGAACGACAAAAGAGGGAAATATGTTGCTAATTGTGGCTTTGTTAACGAGACAGACGTTGAAGAGATCTTGGCTTTGATAGGACTGCTTTATATGACAGGTTGTAGAAAAGACAATCATCTAACTACAGCAGAAATGTGGTCAAAGCATGGACCAGAAGTGTACCGATGCGTAATGAGTGAAACAAGATTTAGATTTTTGATATCTTGCCTCAGATTTGACGACAAAACCATGAGAGACCGAGAAGATAAACTTTCTCCAGTACGTAATATATGAGAAATGTTTATTTCTCACTGTACAAAATACTATACTCCTCACAGTTATTGTACCATCGACGAACAGTTATTGGGATTTCGAGGCAATTGCCCTTTTAGAATATATATTTCATCAAAACCTGACAAATATGGAATCAAAGTTGTAACGATGTGTGATTCACGCACATATTATATGGTTACTGCTATTCCATATATCGGCAAATAAAATAGGCCAGATAAAGAACCGCTCCCAGCTTATTACGTAAGAAAACTGACAGAACTCATTCACGGAACCGGACGCAATTTGACGATGGACAATTGGTTTACTTCCATCCCACTGGCTGACAAAATGCTTGTTGACTACAATTTCACCATTGTGGGTACTCTCAGAAAAAACAAGAGGGAAATTCCTCCATCATTTCTCCCAAACAAACGAAAAGAAATTATGTCTTCTCAATTTGGATTCGACAACCAAAAAACCTTGGTGTCCTTCACACCCAAGAAGTCTAAATCTGTGCTACTTTTATCGACAATGCATTCTGGTAGTACAATAAATGAAAATAAAAAACCCGAGATAATAAATTTTTATAATTCTACCAAAGGAGGTGTCGATACCTTTGACCAGATGGTGCACACATATTCGGTATCCCGCAAAACACGCAGGTGGCCATTACGCTTTTTTTATGCTATAATGGATCAAGCAGGCATTAACTCCAACATTATTTTCCAAATTGTTAAGCGTGATAGACAAAAAAGTGTTCGTCGAAAATACCTATTTGAACTTGGACTACAACTGGTCAGGCCTCATATGGAAAGACGTTTGACAAAACCAATACCTCGATAATTGAAAGAATCAATAATGAATATTCTAGATATGAAAACAGAAGAAAAAGTTGATCCACCAAGAACAAATGACCGAAAAACAAAAACTGCCTGTGCGAAATGTTTCAAGGCTGTTTGCAGTAATCATCGAGCTGAAATATGTACCGAGTGTTTGAAATAAATGTTTTATTATTGAAATAAAAGTGTCTATCTTTTATATTTTGTTCATTAAATAGGAATATATCACTGGGGTTATTGGTAACCCCGCCTAAGCAACTATAGCCGTGCTATTCGCCTAGGCGCTCCAGGGTTGATACATTCCGCCACATTTGCAAACATTTCCAGGTTTTTTTGCTTCAAATTTCTGCTCCACAATTCTAATTCCTACAAAAAGCGACAACTTTACCACTCGTATATGATATATGTGTATTTGCGCCTTGGAGGTTGAAGATATTTAGTTTCTCGAATATGTCGACCAAGCAGCTCAATTTGATCAGAAATAAACCATCTCGAAACATCTCGAGTTCCGGTCGGTTTTCTTCTATAAAAACGGCGATTTCATGAATTGATTCAAAAACAGATTGTTAACATTTCCCACGTGATAACCAACCTGTCATATCTGAACAAAGTGCAGGAAATATTCTAGTTGTCAAGGGTCTCATTTTTATGTAATTAACTACTGTTACTACCATAGTTAGCACAATATTCGCTACAGGAGACATTTTTTTGAAAACTAAAGCTCCTCTGTGAGTCATGCAAAGGCTTGTATACTTTCAAATCTTCATGTTTGCCTCGATTATATAGTCATTTAAGATAGCAAATAATGCGAGATCCGTTGCTTTTAGTTCTATAGGTGGGTCTCCTACTCCTGATATGCCATCACGAAATCTAACGTAGGCAATAAGATGAGCATCTTTATTGCTGTCCGAAGCCTCATCAAGATGGATTAAAAATAACTTGTCTCGCAAGTTCCCGAGTAGCTGACGCCATACGTCTTCAGCTATATCACCAATTCTACGGGCAACCGTTTCATTTGACAGAGGTATGGACTCCAATTTTTTGGCCAAATCATCTCCAGACACAGTTTTTACAGTTTCAATTACAGCTGGCAAAATAAGCTCTTCACCAATAGTGTGAAGCTTCTTACATCTGCCTATTTCATATGAAGCTTTATAAGAGGCAAGTAAAGCTTTATCATTCTGTCAAGGTTTTTTAAAAATGAAGAATCCTCGGAGTTTGTTAACGTACTCACTATGAAGCCTTTAAGTTTATTAGGCTTCATGCTATCTGCTGCTAAAGTTTTTGAGCAAACGATGCAGAGAGGCCTCTCTCCTTCATTGAGTTCAGTACATGTAAAGCCAAAATTCAAGTATTTTCGGGAATATTTTATTGATTTTATTTTTGGAACCTCTCTCGCCTGTGCACTTGTTGATGCTTCACTAGTATCGAATGCTCGCTTACGCCCACTTAAAAATGTATCCATTATTTCGTATAAATTAAAATTCACTGGGACTGACCAGAATTGACGAGATGCGGCGTGTATACACGTTCGCGCAGACGGTCGAGAGTGTTCGGAATAATTCGGAACTTCTCGCAAAGAGAGCCATTGATTCCGGATTTGCCAATGCAGCAGATCGGCGTTGCCAAATATCTATAAATTTACTTATTTTCGGCAAGTTGTATGATTTAAAATTAAGGTTGTACTGTAGGTTTAGCGTCAAAATACTCAAGGTACAATATTATTGTATACACACATTGTTATTGTATGAGGGGGTCGGGACGGTGAAAATATTTGTTGAAAATTGGATCCAGAATGGTGAAAGGTTGAGAAATGCTGTGGTAATGGAACATTTAATAATCTTACATCTGGCCCAAAGAAAGGTATTATTTTATTTTGATAATAAATGTGCGAAGTTAACAAAGCAACAATTGAAAGATTACCATTGGGTAACATCACCTTTATTTTTTATTACGGCTGAAATTCTTTGGGGCATAGTGTTCACCAAGTTTTTTTCAAAAATTTGGTGTAAAACAATCCCATATTTCTTGAAGCTTTTGTCTCAATTAGGTGATTATACGAGCAAGATATTATCATAGAACATTTTTCATCTCGTGCCACAAAGTTTCAATAGGTGACAGATCTGGACTGCTAGAAACCCATTTCAAAAGTGGTAATTATTTTCTTCCTTCCATTTTATAGCCTTTTTTGAGGTATGGCACGCTGCACCATCTTGCTGAAACACAAAATCTTGGCCAGATGTCAAACATTCTTCCATCACTGGTAACAGCGATTCTTCCAAAATTGCCAAATATTTGTTTGTATCCACATTTCCATCAATAAAATGAAGTTTTCCTACTCCTTTTGATGACATACCGCCCCAGACCATAATGGATGCTGAAAATTTCACTTTTCTCTTCAGACAGTCAACACGGAATGCTTCATTTTTTTGCGAATAAGTCTACTGCGACTGTAACCAACACAAACTTCGAATCGGGCCTCATCACTCCATTGTATTGCACACCATTGTTGTAATGTCCATTGGCAATGTTCTTTAGCCCATCTAAGCCGATTTTTCTTTTGGAGTGGAGTTAATAGTGGCATTTCTTTGGCCTATAAACAAGTTGTGCAGCTTTAGGGTTTTTACTTCACTTTTTTTATAAGAAAACTTACCTTGCAAGTGCTAAATCCCAGTTTGTGGGCCTCTCTATGAGTTGTGGACCTCGAAATTCTCCTTCCACCAGCGTCACTACACAGAGCACTTAATTGTAAATAATTGGCACGCCTGTTTTTCACGATTATTCTTCATAATGCCCTTCGGTCGGCATTTGTGATATTACTTTTTTTCACATATCGTGGCTTAATATTAACTGAAAAAGTTACGTTATATCTTCTAACAATATTTGTCACACTGTACCGCGATAAGTCTAACAAAGTTGCAATTTCTGAGTTTGATTTCCCAGAATTAAAAAATTTAACTATGAGTAACCGAATTTTCTCACTAATAACCTTTCCTCTACACATTTTGAAAACCTTAACTACCCAAAACTATTTTAAACGTATTCTGACAGCTGTGACTAATAAAAACAATTGTCATGGCTTTTATTTTTCACAGCCGCCTATGCGTTATAGACTTATTTTGTATTGAAATGAAAATAGGCTGATATGCTGTAATTGCAGCATGTGTTATTTTTATGCTGCAAATTTGATTAGGGAGTGATAAAGATGGTGTTTTCTACTATATATTATCAAAATATTAATTGTTAATATTTTAAACCTATAACACCCTGCTACATTTTTACTATTTGTGTTTAATAAGAAAAAAACTAAGATTTCAATAGTTGGGGCAACTGAAGTGGGAAGGAGCTCGTATATTCCATATATGTAAATTATAAATAACAATGTTCACACTTCAGTATGTTAGCTGTACTGTGGATGCCTATTTTGGATTTTTTCTGTGTTTGGCGTCCCAGTTTGTTAAATAAATAAAGAAAGAAAGAGATGCAAACTCCATATTTTATTTTTGTTTCATGATACACACGTGTACTGACTGCGCTTCAACTGTTCGTTAGTATATGTTATTTATATTTATAAAATGGAGTTAACTGGACAGTTAAGTTAAATGCCACTTCAACTAGAGGACCAGTTAGTGAGTAATTATGAAACCCGGATTTAAGCTTGTATGTATGACTCGCATGTTATGGCATTGATTTTCTTTCAAGGAAGATACGGAATGAAGTGGCAATTTAGCCCTGAACACGAAATCGTCCAATCATGCAAAAAAATACATAAATTCCAAAAATAATCCTTACGACGTCAAATTAGTCACAAACACATAACGACGCTGGAAGTAGTACAAAAGGCTCGACTTTCCTTCCCCCTTTTTATGGCAAAAAACCTACGCATTTACGGTACACAATAGCATCCGTTTTTGTGTCAAATAAATTTAAGGGAGTGATTTATGTATAAGGAACGCGAGAAAACTCATTTATATTTCAAGTTCTCTCCTCGTGCCATTTATTATGATGTTACGTCATTCTTGCGGGATAAATCGTTACCATAACGCTTCACAATATGTTCGGCTCTCAGAGATAGTGAGAACTGAGAAGTACCCTGAAATCTAACGTGCGTAATCGCATCTAAGGCTCGTATCGTCAGTCGTCCCTACAATTGAATCGGTGAGTTCGAAAACCGTACATGTCCAAAATTTTACATTTTGAAGTAAGACGGCCATTTTGCTCAAAATATATGTTTTCATCGATTGAGGATAAAAGCCGTACTAAATACTTAGCCGCCGATGCAGTACAGCTGATTCCATTCGTGAAATGAGAAGATAAACCGTACATGTCCGCGACTAGTACGGTGCTCAATCTCAACGACAAAGCATTGTGCATTTGTTTGTTTATTAGCACAGTGGTCGCTTCGTGTGTATGTGTGTTGTTAAAAACATCTCCATATTTTCAATTTTCCTACGCTTTAAATTAAAATCATGTCATCCAGTGATAGTGAAGGGCAAAATAATACTAGTACTGATAGCAGAAAAAGAAAAAGACATGTTGCTAGTTGGAATCACAACAAAGTAAAAACAGCACGCTTCCAAAGACAGTCATATGTTTCTAAAAAAGGAAAACATGTTATGGCAAGGACTATAGGATCAGAGTGTAGGCAAGTTATTACGTTTTAAAAAGGTCGGATTGAGTTTCATTGTATCTGTTTTACTTTTCAGCTGTAGAAAAAAATGCATGCAGCAGTTTACTGAGGAAGATAAAAAAGAGATTTTATCCAAGTTACTCAGCGGTTCGTCGAAAAACGAGCAAGATACATATATACAGGGACTCAAGGAAGTAAAATCAATCCAAAGACATCGCAAAAGAAGTTCAGAAGATAAGCAAGAAAGAAAATCTAACTTTCTTTACTTTGTTAGGAAAGGCTCAAATCGCATTTCTGTATGCAAAAAAGCATTTATAAGTCTTCATGCCATATCGCATTGGCAAGTTCAACGTCTGAATACTCTGCTTTTTGCTGCCAAATGTCCAAGGGACTTGAGAGGCAAGCATAATAACCGACCTGGCACCATATGCGATGAATGGACTCAGAAAATTAAAGAGCACATTGAGGCATTCCCAGTAAAAGTTTCCCATTATTGCTCTAAAAATATTCGTTATTTAGATGCATCTTTAGATGTTAAGAAAATGCATAATCTTTTTATCGAAAAATATCCAGATCTCGAAAACTTTGTTAAATATGAATTCTATCTCAAATATTTCAATGAAATCTTCAATCTTAGATTTGGAAGACCACAGGTTGACGTATGCTCGGAGTGTGAGCGATATGGTACGAGACTTAAAGACGCTAACCTTAAAGAGAACGGAAAGCGAGTAACTGCTGCATAATTAATTGTCCATAAAAGACGGGCAAAGAAATTTTATAATAAAATCAAACAAGTGCAAGCTTTGTGTTTGGAACGACCAGGAGTAATGGGGCTTGCTTTTGATTACATGCAAAATATGCCACTACCGCATATTCCTGTCCAAGATATTTTTTATTTGAGACAGCCCTGGGTATTTGCATTCCAAATCCACAGTCTTAAAGACAATAATGGTCATTTCTATACCTATCATGAGGGGCAAGGTCAAAAAGGGCCTAATGAAGTGAGCACGTTCCTTAACGACTACATAATGAATCATGTACCTTCCAATATTACTGAGCTTCACTTGTTTTCTGATGGATGTGCAGGGCAGAACCGAAACCAAACTATGGTCCGTTTTCTCCTAGGATTACAAGCAACTAAGAGATTCACTAAAATATATCATTACTTCTCGATCGTTCTTACCCTGCGACCGGGATTTTGGCTGCGCAAAACGGAATTTCAGAAAACATGATAGAATCTATAGCCCAGAAGAATATGAAGACTTGATAGTAACTTCCAGAAAGAAGCAACCATTCACTGTAAAACAAATAAGACACACTGATGTTATTGATTTTAAAAAATGGTGGCCTGACTACTATAAAGAAACGTGAAGTACTTCAACACGAGGTGCTGCTTCCAAGAAAGAAACTTTTGCTGTTTCCAACTACAGACAGTTTCTGTATGAAAGTTCAAATCCTGGATATGTTACAACATGGGAATTTATAGATGGTTTACACTCCCACACCTTTAAGCTACTGAAAGAACACAAATAAAGTCCACCTCTGCCCAATGATAGGGCATATAAAGAACCTATCCCCCATCAACGAAAAGAAGATCTTGAACATCAAAAAAGCCATGTGACATACTCATGGTGAAATTTTAGAGTTCTATTACCATATAACATCATGGAAAACAACAAATATGGAAAACGATGATTAAATGGTCGACCTAACAGTTTTGATATTGAATTTTTGTTCTGACGTAAACTAATGATAAATAAATTGGATAAATGCTCATGTGTTTCTTTTGATTTGCAGAATGACTTTATAAACCGTACAAGTTCATGAGATGTTTCTATCTGGTATTGCTAAACCATTTTATATTCGGAAAAACTATTATTATATACATATGGTAAACCGTTAGATCTAAAACTTTTGTATATATTTCAAATTTCTATATCAAGTAGTTTTCGAGTTGGAACGTTTTTATCGATTATCCCAAAACGATGACTTTGGATTTCGAACTCACCGATTCAATTGTAGGGCGCCTTTATGGCCTCCTTGATTGTCATAGTTTTCTACTTCTCCGTGTCAGAACTCTATTTTGAGGTTATGTCACAAACATCTATTTGCATCAAATTGTGCTTGCTTTTGAGTTATATCATGTTTTATCAGCCTGAAATTTGCGACAATTTAAAAAGAAAACATATCTTCACAATAGGAGAGCGCTGACATGGGACAAATGTAATCCAGAAATTTTTGAAGGAGAGAAAGGAGTATGACAATCAACGAGGCCATAAACGCGCTCTACAATTATAGGGACGACTGACGATACGGGCCTGAAGCAAGCTCTTTGAATTGATGGAATTCCTTTCGATATCGCATCGGTAAACTGATGCGAACAGGCTATTTAACTAGTGTCTGTCAGGACATAACCTACAGCGTTAGCAGGGCAGTATGTGCATCTTCTCTATCTTGCCATAATTAGGATTACTCTGATGGATGGCTCAGGAGGTACGTACCTCAGCTCCTCGATAACAGCTAACTAATGAACACATGTTTGGCGGTAATAGTTTGGACCCGGTGATATCTATAGCCCAGGCCTATTCAGTTCGCAGCAGGGTTGTTTTGTTTTGAACATTTTGTTTCAATCAATTGTTTTAAACATTCTCTTAGGTTTAAAACAGTTTTTGTTTCAAACAGTTTAAAACATGTTTAAAATACTTAAATTAAACAAGCGTTTTTTCTTCATTTTCTTTATTAATATAATAAATAAAAATAGGAAATCTTCTCAAGTACATTATAGAAACTTTTTAACATAAATACGTATTTATTAATAATAGGAACACGACAAAAATTCTAAAACTTAAACATTTTGCATACAAGGGTTAACAAATTCCCCACACTCTTTCAGTCTCATAGTCATCCAAGTCATCAATCTGATATCTGATCAGTCACGTCATCACTGATGGAATTAAGCTCTTTAACCCTATATCTGGTGCTGTAGCCTGTAGGCAACATCATCTTTAAACCTCAATTTCTCATCCTCCCTGCTCTAACCGTCTGATTGGGCAGTGTTGCGCGTAAGCTACGTTATTCATTAACGGAAATAATATTATGAGCGAACTCTGTTTATAAAAAGTTGAGTCAAAATTTTCAATATGGTTGCCGCGTAACAGGTGTTTGGTGCACGTATGAATCTGTAGTTGGGATTTTTTGAATACGTTTCTTCATACGCAGCACTAGTCAAGCCATAATTACTTTAGATTTCTTACATTTAGCAGTCACTGATTTTTTGTTATTATCTTTAACAACATCAAAATAGGACCAAATGGCATGTTTCTTCCTTCTTGTAGACGAAATTTTCCAAAAAAGAACACCACAAGGTAACATATAGTAGACGTTATTGCAATAGCTAACTTGCAAGGCGAATTTATAAATAGTAGTCTGTGGTTCCCCGAGGCAAGTAGTTCCTCATTGCAATTGGTTTTCTTATTTCGGGTATTCACCGGCACAGCCTAACAGCGGCGTGGCGCGACCTAGTTCTTAAAAGCTGATCGCGACAGTTTAGTACAGAATCGGACTTTAAATAATGTATCTATTATTCAGTAAAATGATAGATCGATCATTTTCAATTATTGTTATGAAGAAATATGATTTAAACATTGTTTTTTTCTAAGTTTTATTTGTTTAAAACATAGAATTTTAAAACAAAAAAAATGTTCAAAACAAAAAAAAAAACATGTGTTTTGTATAAAATAAAAAATGTTTTTTTTCAACCCTGGTTCGCAGGACTGAAGTTGGATATGGGACGGTATTTTGATTCTCCATAACGCACAGTGTTTTAAGTCACATAGCGAATACGACGCCTTGTGTATATCAACGAAACCATCTTTAGATTGCGAATCGAAGAATTATTTATTTACAAAAGTGACTGTGTAATAGATTCCTGGTTTATGAATTCCCAGCGCTTGCCGTTACGTAAACACATGATAATAAAAACTAAAGCTTGCTGCATTGGTTCTAGATTAAATATTTCAAAATTTGAAGATGAGTACAGACATTGTTTTAGGTGATACATGTATTGAAACTGTGGAGGAGACTAAGAATTTAGGAATTTTACTGGACACAAATTTAAGCTTTGAGAACCATATCATTAATAAGCTTCGAGTATGCTATTATAAACATAAGTCACTTTGAAGATACAAACACGTTTTAACCAGCGATATAAAATTAAGACTTACCAATCCACTAATCCTTACTCATCTAGACTATGGCGCTACAGTATATTATAATCTTCTTACGGAAGAAATGAAGCACAAAATTCAAGTATTACAAAACTGCTGCATTAGATTCTGTTTCAAATATATACGTAAACAAGAATATGTTACTAGATATTATGTAAAAGAAAATGTTTTAAGATTCAAGTATCCTGTATTGCTTCAGTATGGAAATCTACTGTATAAAGTATTGAAATATAAATTACCCAGCTCTGTTTATTTCTTTGGAGAAGAGATGTTCACTGCGCCAGGTTTCATGCCTATCCAGTTCATACAACGTCCAAATTCAAAAAATGTTTTACTTACACGGCACCACATCTGTTGAACGATTACTTAGAGCTTTTTGAAGTACCTTCCATCCACAACTTCAGAAATGAGAAATAAAAAGTGGTACTAGAGCTACAAACATTTGAATCCACAAATTAAATTCATATAAATTCAACATATACGCTATCTTCCACTAACACTCGGACTATATCGTATTATATACAGCATAACATTTGTTGTGAATGCTTATCACTCTGTTGTTATTAAATAAATGCTCATGAAACTGACTTCTTAAGGGGAGGTGACAAATGACCGCGCCAATCGTCTTTCCTTTCGGAATGTGTCCTTTTTATATTTGTTATGTATGTACATTCCAATAAAAATTATTATTATTATTATTATTATTATGTAATGTAGAACGTTTTTAAATTATTTGACTAATTAGGGACATCAAACAGAGAAAATCTCCGATATAGAATATTTCAAAATGTTTCATTTTCAGGCTGTAATCGTAACCATGAACAATAATTATACTCGCCTTATAAGCCAGAATTCGCAAGAACTTATGCTGGACTGACTCAAACCTCCTTATATAGACTTTGTACTGGGGATTCCAAATAATTAACGGGAAAGAATGTCTTCTTATAAAGCCAAGTATCTTACTCGTTATATTTATGGCTCCATATTTTGGCCCCAGGTCGCAAATATTGCTCACAAAGTTAATATTGACATTCCTTATCTGATACGTATACTCTTTTTTTCGTGAATGTGGTTGAAACACATTTTTTAGTGTTAAGTGGTTGGCCATTTCTCTGACAATAATCGTTGGGTTTGTCGATATCAGATTGTATTTTGACGTAGTCTTGAAGGCATTCATCTATACGATACATCTTTAAATCATCTGTGGAAGAAGAAACTGTCAATGGCTGAAACATTGTGCGATGTCATTTATATAGATTAAGAAGAGCAATGGACCTAAGTAGCTACCCTGAGGAACTGCCAGTGATAGAATAGCGACTATGGATTTATACTGGTTTATATATATATATATATTGTCTAAAACCCGTCTAGTAGTATATTTCATGTAAGGGTGTGTAGTACTCTACAGTTAATAATTATACACAAAGTTTAGCAACTGTCTTGTCTGTTGCAAGTATTCTAGCTTCTGCTGCTGTAATTCCTCTCCTCTTTAATGTTTCTTCCATAGCTTTGTCCCACGTTAGTTTAGGTCTTCCTCTCAACCGACTTGGTACCGTCCTTGCTCGCCATATTCTTTTCACTTGCCTAGCGTCCTTCATCCGGTTTATGTGTCCGAACCATCTCAGCTGAATTTTTTCGATCTCAGTTGTTACTGCTTCTACTCCCAGATCCTGTCTTATTTCTTCGTTTCTTATTTTGTCTGCTGTCGTGACGCCTCTGATCCTCCTCAAGAATTTCATCTCCAGCGTTTGCAGTCTTTGTTTCTTGGTCAGCACCCATAATTCTAATCCCCATAAAAGAACAGGTAAGAAAACTGCTTTATATATCTTTAGCTTGGTATCGAGTGATTGTTCCTTGTTGGCTAAGCATGTTTTATTTAGAGCATAGTACAGTATCGCAGCAGCATTTATTCTTTCATTTAGATCACTTTCCTGTCTTCCTTTAGAGTCTACTATGGTTCCTAGATACTTGAATTCACTTACGCATTCCAGTCTATGTTCTCCTACTAGTAGGACGGCATTGTTTTCATGTCTCGCTATTGCCACTATTTTACTCTTATCTGTGTTTATTTTCATGTTCCTGGACGGGAGAGCTTGGTCCCATATGATTATATTTGTTTGTATAATTTCTTTCACTATCGGCAAGTATGGCAACATCCTCTGCAAATGCGCACTCGGTCATTGTTACCGATTGTAGGTTTTTATACCCTTTTAATAGTTTTTTGGTGTCGTCTCTTGTTTGCAACATTATTTCATCCATAAATAAGGTGAATAGTATCGGGCTCAGTACACCCCTGTCTTAGTTCTTGGTCCGTTGTGAATTCATCCGTATCCAATCCACCCACGCGGACATAATTTCGGTTTACCTCATAAACGCTTCTGATATCTTGAATTAGCTTTGTTCCCACTTTTCTTTCTTGTAGTATGGCCCGAATGTTATTTCTTTCTATACTATCAAATGCCTTCTCTTAGTCCAGAAAAGCTACGTATGCCTCTCTGTTTTGATCCAGAGTCTTTGCAATCACTTCTCTGACGGAAAGATGTGGCGCTGGGTGCTATATCCTTTCCGGCCGCTTTCGAAATGTATCATCCCTTGTTCGATTTGCTTGGTCAGTTTGTTTTCCAAAATCCTTTCAAACAGCTTGGCTACGACGCTCAATAACGTGACGCCTCTAAAATTTGTGCATTCCTTTGGGTCTCCTTTTTTGAAATTCCAACTTCCCAGTCTTTGGGTACGACTCCTGAATCCCATATCCTCACAAACAACTCTAATAGTGTCTCCATGCATATATAATATACCAGACTATACAACCGAAAAATTCTCTATCGCGCAAATAAGATGGAACCCACATTCAATAGGGCTACGAACACCAACCTCAGCAAGTTTTGTCAATAGCCCAATATGATTGACTCGATCAAAAGCCTTGGGAAGCCTGAGGGAAAGTGGGCGGCGTTCTACTACCCTCCGATCAACTGTGTTCCTGAATGCTAATCGAGTAACAATCGTTCCTTCCTTTTTTGGAAAAAAATTCAACAGGTCTCGGCGTCGTCCATCAGTCTCGTCTCTAAAGACAGCTTTGTGATAAATCGTTTAATAATATAATGAACGTAGAACCACCTCAGAACACAAGCAATATTAATTTCTATTAGCTGTTCTACTCGTATTTTCTCAATTTCAACAATTTGGTCCCAGATGAGTTTTCATATTTAACTCGGTAGATACTAATGATTCCAGCTTAATTCACCGTAGCTACCTGGGTCGATGCGTACTGCTCAACATCTGGATATTACAAACGTTAGCGAAGGGCCTACAAGGCGTTAGCAGTGTAATTATATATCCAATTAGATGAATGGTTGGATACTGAAGCTGTTTGCTGAATGTATACAAAGCCTCGGCTTCAGGCAGCTGCAAGCCTGCACTGTTTGTTCGTCGCGTTCGAGGCGATGTACTACGATGCTGCTGCGACCAATGAAGACGCTGCCTGTTAATACGGCTGATCGGCTGCTTCTTGTAATACACGACCGACCTTGTTATAACGTAGATGACGGAAGTGGTAGGTTAAGCATAGCCGGATGCGACTAATAACTTCCAAGGATCTATTCGAGAGCCCGAACTTGAGAGGGTATAATTATTTCCTACAGATACGCCAATTGCTAAAAACAAGCTGTCAGCTTACGCGATCATATATAAAGCGTGGTCGTATTCTGTAACGTTTGCAACGCCGTTGCGAATATAAGTCAAGTCTGGCGTTTGAATCTGCTGTCTGGACCTCTTCCATGTTCAAGAAAACTCTTGAATGTCTCTCGATTCGCCGTTGGGGGAATAAATATCAGAGCAGATAATGGTGTAATTGACATAGTTGTAAATTGTTATAAATTAACTAAACATGATACTTTCATCTGCCCGATCAAAATGCAGTCAATCATGGACAGCTGTTTCGTGCTCCTTGGCTACTCATCAGCATGGTCTTGCGTCTTTGGAACAATGAACGAAAGCATCGCAACTATCCTCTAGCCCGGAGGTACTGTCTATCGAAACAAGATAGCGCAAAGCGACATCTATCACCACAATTGACCACTACATATCTATTTTTTATTCAACGGCAAATGGACCATATCTGCTATGCAGCCAGAATTGTCAGCCATATAGCGGTCAGATGGTGACTGAGCTACTTATCGTGAACTGAGATCTTTACAGTCCAAAAAGATAGCTGCCATGCGCTCTCCGCAGTGGTCGATTCTGGGATAGATGGCGCAATGCGCTGTCTTATTTTGTTATGAATTAGTCGCATGTGTTAAAAAATAGTGTTGAATAATAAATTAAAAAAAAAAAATGGTGTTTTCGTAGTAGTGGTTTCAGAAGTGGGATTAGTAAATCTACATGCACGAATCGGCAATTACTTTTCGAGACTGAAATATGATTTTGTCGGGACTGACTATAGTCGTTTTACAGACTGAGATGTGAGTGTGTCGGGTGTGACATTTACTGTTTTTGAGATTAAACTGTACGCGTATTGGGAGTAACTATAACTGTTTTGAGTGATCCAACGTTTTTTACGCTAGTGAAAGTTTCCTGTTCGCTTTTGTTGTATGCGTACGTGTGAGAGACAATGGTTGAGAGAGAAGACTCAGCTCGAGACGACGGGTTTGAAGGCGACGGTTATTTCCCGTTCTTGGGAGTACCTGGAGAGCTGTGGGGAAGGCTCGGTCGATGCCGAGATGCTTCTGCCTACGCTGAGTGAGGAAAACCAGGCTCTATCGCAAATACTAAAGGAGCAGAACCACACCCTAGTGCAGATGCTGGACGACACTAGCGGGGCCCTGCAGGAAGAAAACCAGGACTTGTCGCAGACGCTGCAGGAGGAGAATTAGGCCCTACCACAACAGCTGAGGGAGGAGAACCAGGCCCTGTTGTAGATGCTGGAGGAGGGGACCAGGCTCTGTTACAGAAACTGGACGACAATACCCGCGTCCTCCAGGAAGGAAACCGGGCCCTGTGACAGATGCTGAGGAAGAAGAACCAGGTCCTACCACAGATGTTGTCGGGGGAGAGCCAGGACCTGTCGCAAACGCTAAGAGAGAAAAGCCAGGCCCTGTGGCAGATGCTGAAGGAGGAGAACGAGGCCCTCTTCCAGAAGCTGGACGACACTAGCTGCGCCCTTCATAGAGAGAGAACCAGGCCCTATCACAAACGCTGAGAGAGGAGAACCAGGCCTTGTCGCAGACGCTTTGGGAGGAAATCCAGTACCTGTCTCAAATGCTCAGGCAGAAGAGCCAGGACCTGTGGCAGATGCTGAAGGAGGAGAACGAGGCCCTTATCCAGAATCTGGACAACACTAGTCACACTCTCCAGGAACAAAATCAGGCCCTATAGCAGTCGCTGAAGGAGAAGAATCAGGCCATGTGGCAGATGCTGGAGGAGGAGAACCTGGTGCTTTACCAGAAACTGGACGAGCCTAGCGACGCCCTCCAGGGGGAAAACCAGGCTCCCTCAGAGAAGGTGGTACGCAACATCCGTGCACTCAGAGATAAATTAAAGGTGTCCGTTAGAGAACGTTACATTAATGCATAGTACCAGATCGATATATCCGATTGAGCTGTAGCGGAAAATAATGGTAGCAGCTTCTCCTTTGTTAGAAAGCCTGAATACTATCACTGTTTGTAGGTGTACCAATTTGAAGCAGTTTCATGTGTCCGTACATTGTTAACTGACAAAGAGCATCTAAACGCGCATCCAGTCTTGATGGATGTTCGAATATTGACTTCGCATGAATATAATTATGAAAAAATCTTTGGAAGGCGAAAGGACAGAGATTATAGTGGTCGCTGCCTTAATTAAGAAAGCTGAATGACTCTGACATGCCCCAGTAACTTTTGCAAGTAAACACTTGCGTTGGTTGATTAATATTCAATTAATTAAACTGAGGCGCATCAGTACACTCTTGTAAGGGTGATTATTTGGTAAAAATAAACATGATTGAATGTAATTTCAATTTGCGAGATTAACGCGACGGTTCGTAGAATTTTAATTTACTGTGATGCATATAACAATAATACCAGGAATGGAACAATAAAATGTTATATCAAAACAAAGAATATAGATTAATATATGAATTAAAATATTGCATGAATTCAGTAGCGGAGTTGCATTTTATATAAATAATAATTCTGATGAACAAAAAGCCCGTTAAGCAACAACTTAGTCCAATGATCTCTACAGTGGCGAATATTGGTGACATCTGGTTTTGTACGTAAAAGAAGCAGAAAATATAACAAACTTAGTTTTGATAATTCGGGGTTTTGTCTAGAAAAACCTCTAGCTCGCCATTTCGAAGGATGGAGCGCTGAACTTTTCGCCAAAGTAGCTCCCATACCTAAGTCTTAACTCCATCAAGTCTTTTGAATCCTCATTTTTGTTTATACCAGGTGGTCAAAAAAGTATACGTTTTCTCAGATTCCATTCTTTATAGGCATTTTTGGTATCAAGAACATAAGAGTTTCTAGAGCTATTCCTTCAGTGATTGAGAAGCTCTTCGTTCATGGAAACCAGATAATCTACCTGAAGTTTATATATAATATAAGGCCAAAAACGTGGTTAAAAGTGAATTATACTAAAGAAGGATTGGAGAATGTGGGCTAAATCTTTCAAAATGGCGGACTAGCGAGTCTCCGAAGCTGTAAGTGTAAGTAAGACTCCATAATGTGTGTATGTGAGTTCGAGGTGTTTATTTTAAAAAACTACAACTCTAATCTGTAAGCCAACATTGGGACACCCTGAATACTTGAGAAAAGTGCACCCAAATGTTATGTATAGTTTTTCCTAAAATGCAGCTGTTTGCGAGTAGTAATCCATCCCCACACGAATTAGCCACCCTGTATACACTGCCCTTTTATTTACATAAAAACAAGCCTCGTACATCAGAAACAACAACACCACTGTGCCCGCTCAAAGTAGTAAATTAGTGGAATACCCCAATCCCACTTCCCATGCACAATCGCCGCATGCAGCTTAATTCAAACATATTGTCCGTAATGCATTCTCTGAATGTATACATAGCAAAAATATACTGCGAATTGCGCTTCGCCTGCATTTATGGTGTTATTGAATTACCCAAATTTTAGAAAAAGCATGTGCGCTGTGTACGTATAGTTTACATCGAATTTAGCTTTCTCGTACACACAAAAGTCCATTAGTGATGTAACTGAACAAGTGTTGTCTATGCTTTTAGTATACGTGGATACGGACTCATCAGTATACTCAGTGACATTAAAAATGTTACACCCAGAAAAAATATTTTTTTCAATTTGTTACCTTAGCAACTGCATTTAACACGTTGTGTCGGTGTGGCATTAAAGTAATGCCTCACCGACTAGGTAATCTAGGGACGTTGAGACATGACAATAACGTCTCATTTTAAATATTGAATAAGGTTCGGTGTAGTGTCTCGCTATAATGCCAAATGAATGGGAAACGATAGTTAGCCGTCTATACGAACGTTTTCTGTTATCCGGCTGTGGATATTTGACTAAAATACTATGTTATAGATAGCATACAATTTTATTTCAATTTAGAAAATATAGTTACAGTAAATATAACAAAATGAAATGCAATAATATAAAATAAACGTATATTCTACAGCTAAGAACTGCAAATCAACTTATATAATGTGGTTTAAAAATAATATAATGGTATTTAAAATGTTAGTCCAATTTCTCAGCATGATGGGTTTCAAAAAAACACGGGATACAATAGCTCTTGTTACAAGGAGTGCACTGAAATTTAGTCCTCGGTGTTTTGCTTTGCGCTTCTTTTCGACCAAATTCCTCCTTAGCTTTGGCATAACATTTCACACATCTATTTTTCGCATGCTCTTGAAGCTCGTGTTTTGTATTTCTTTGATTTGGTTCATTAGGTTTGTTATTTACACCTAGAAGTGATAATGCTAAAAGCTCCCTGAATTCCGTAATTTGAATTTTATTTTGTGTTACTTCTTTATAACAAATAAATGCATTGACCAATGTAGAACCAAAAATTAATTCAATTGCTAGTTTCCGGTACCATTTGTTGCCCCTTCTAAGGCAATGTGAATAAGTTTTTAGCTGATCTGACAAGTCAGTATAAGCTTTCGATTTATTGTAATCAACTATTGTTTGCGGTTTTTCAATTTCTTTTCCACGCTGATGAACTTTGATTATTTCATCAGTGTGTACTGTGGTCAATAGTAACACATCACGAGTATCTTTCCATTTGAGCATTACAATGCCGGCTACCGCTCTCCTGACCTATTACTTCATGCTTCTCTGTCTATCATGGTTTTTTCGTCAAATCTGAGGCAAGATATCAAAAATCTAAACCTTGTTTCACTCATTACGCATCGATACACTTCTGGTCCATGCTTTGACCACATTTCTGCTGTAGTTAGATGATTGTCTTTTCTACAACCTGTCATATAAAGCAGTCCTATCAAAGCCAAGATCTCCTCAACGTCTATCTCGTTAACAAAGCCACAATTAGCAACATATTTCCCTCTTCGTCGTTCTATTTCCATATTTGTATGCACCACTATAATATCTATAACATTCACGCTAAAAAATAACTTCCATGCCTCTAATTCCGTTGAAATACTTTTGGCCACACCTTTTGGTCCTGGAATACATGAAACAATATTTCGCTTAGGTGTTCGAGTACGACATGGAAGCTCAGTGCTCCAAATATATCCATTTTTTCCTTTTATTACTTTGCCAGGAAGTTGTTCTGTCTCACTCCCTACTTCACTATCATCCGTTGAGTAGGTGCTCTCCCTGTCGGACTGAATTGAAACATGGTCGTCATAGTCAGTGCCGTCATTATCTGAATCAGGTTCATTGTCGAGTTCTTCATCCCATCGTAACAGAGTTTCTTCAAATTTGGGATCATCTGGTCGGACAGCCATCTAAATAAATTACGTAATCTAGTGTGTGGAATGAAATAAAAATACCAGTTTAAGCTCACCTGGGGCTACTCGTCACCCCAAACACAAAATATCATATAAACTATTGCACTGAACAAAAATGTGCGACCAACAACACACACACGTTAACCTCAAATGAACATAGCGGGATCTCCGATGTTGCCAATTTATGCAGAAAAAATTAGTGAACATTTGGATTTTCTTTGGGGTGATGCGAAACCTCACTAAGCATTACAGGGTTAATTTCACCGAAAGAAACACAAAAAAAATCCCGTCGCTGAGACTCAATTTTTTGCACTCTACATCCGTACTCAACGTGTTAAATCAGGCTGTGAGAACATTGTCAACATTTTATCTCCATTTTCGTTTTCCTTTGTTAAAATGTTAGTTCTTGTTATTAGTTTGTTAGGGCTGAGAGGTACAGATATTCTTAGTTATTGCTCATTGATAACAAAATTCCTCAAGTCCGAAGACGTCCAAATTGTCCATGTTAGCGACTTTGACATGGGTAGAATCATTGCCTACCGATATGTTGGTTTGTCCTATCGCAAAATTGGCCGCCGTATTAATTGTACTGCAATGATGGTAATGTGTGTGTGGGATTTGATGAGGAGGATACTATCACTTTGCATCACCCGCGACACTCTGCCACATCTAGTCCACGAAGTTCGAGTTACTTGGAAGACATCGATCGTCTCATTTCGTCGATGCCTAGACGTATACAGGAGTGTATTCAGCTGCGGGGTCGCCCAACACATAATTAACTTTTTTTCTTATTACTTGTCAATAAAATTTCGTGAAAATGTTATCGTTTCATTCTTGATGTAAGAAATTACTTTTTCTCGGTGTAACAATTCTAGTGTCACTGAGTATACATGTATACATGATCTCTTGTCCATATTTCTCGATCCAAGATAAGGTAAAATGAAAAAGTTTCCATGTCAGTCCGATTCGACTGCTTATTTTCTTCTCATGTATTCTAGTGTGAGTGTGACAGTGTATGCTTTTGAAAATGTAACTTCGGAACTTAAGTACAAAGATTTAGAAATATTTTCGACCGCATGAGATATCCGGGATTCACAAAGTTGGGATAGTGTTGTGCGGTCTATTGACTTGATATTACAGTATAAGCATAGCTGGAGGAGCCGCGGAACTTTTCGGGCTTACTGTGAATATACGCTGGTGATTGCTTGAGTTGATCATATGATTCGGGTTGTATCGCCACCAATACTGTGTTTTATAACAAAAATCGGGGATGATATATTTTATATTTGGCCCGCATATAAAAACCGAAAGTTGAGACATAACGCATGTCATTTCCACCTAATGTTGCTGATATATAGAACTTGATCGACCAGAGCAGCGGAAAGATGTAAAAAATTTAATATCATCCGACAGCTGTAAGAAAGAAACTCGATCTCGTCCCACCTACGTTCTAGTTATGACTGCTCCTTCACGGAGACATATAGAATACCGGCATATATGGTTTATATATAATTGAGCTCTCTCCCCAGCTTGTTTTATGACATTCGGGTCAAATGTTTCCCGAGCT